GGCAAAAGTAAATCTTTCTTTGGTATAATAAAAAATAAATATTTGATATTTGTCCCTGGCTCCTGGTATACAGTTCCTCTAATCCTCAGAATCTCTAAGGAAATAAGAGTATCTTTTGTATTTTAATGAGATGACTAGTGGCTGGGGCTGCCTAGAAAACTTCAAGACGTGAGGTTGTTTTCAGAAAGTCCAAGGTATCATCAGAGTGCTGGAACATTCAGCCTCACTCCCTGATGTCTGACAATGCAAGAAGTGATGGAGGTCAAGTTCAATCAACAATCACCAATAGTTTAATCAATCATGTCATGTAAAGAAACATCCATGAAATCCTCTAATTAACAGGTTTCAGGAAACATGCATGTTGGTGAACACATCCACGTGTCATGAGTATGGTATGCACGTGGTTACCCAAACCATGATAATAGAAGCTCCTGTACTCAGGACATTTCTAGACCATTTCCTATGTATTTCTTCATCTGGCTGTTCATTATTACCGTTTAAAATAGACCAGTATTAGTAAGTAAAGTGTTTTCCAAAGTTTTGTGAACCACTGTGACAAATTATTGAACCTGAGGTGGGGCACACCGTGAACCCTTCAACTCAGACACAAGTGTGGGTAACCTGGAGACTAAGAACTTGTAAATGACTTGCACTTGAAGGGAGGGAGTCTTGTGGAACTGAGCCCTTTAAATTGTGGAGTCTGACATTAATTCTGAGTAGTTAATGCCAGAATTAGCTTGAATTATAAGACATGCAGTTGGTGTCCAGAAAGTTGAAGAACTGGTATTGAAAAAGACACCACATATTTGGTGTTACAAGTGTGTGAACAAAAACAGTTCACGTTCTGTATCAATAATTACTTCAAAGTGAATAGATTAAACTCCTTAACCAAAAGACATAGAGAATGAGTTTTAGAAATAGAGAATGAATGAAAAAAAAACAAGATATAACTATATGCTGTCTATGAGAGATTTGTTTTAGATATAAGCACACATATAGGCTGAAAGTGAAAGAATGGCTAAAAGATATTCTATGTAAATTGTAACCAAAATAGTACAGGCTAAATGTATATCAGACAAAATAGACTTTGAGTTAAAATCTGTCACAAAAGACAAGAACATCACACAGTGATGAAAGGGTCAAATCACCAGGAAGATATAACAATTATAAATATATATGCATTCAACAGCAGAGCACCCAAATACTACATATAAAGCAAATATTGGTAAAATACCAAAGAGATTTAGCAAGTCAATAATAGTAGCCTTTAATACCCAAATTTCAATAATGGATAGAATATAGACACAGAAAATCAATAAAGAAACAGCAGATTTGAACAACAATACAGACCAAATGGACCAAACAGACATACAAAGAATATTCCATCCAAGAGCAGAAGAATGTACATTTTTCTCAAGGGCACACAGGCAACGTTCTTGAAGACAGATAACATATTAGGCCACAAAACATGTCTTAGCAAGTTTAAGAAGACACACATATTAAGTATCTTTTCTGATCACAGTGAAATGAAACTAGAAATCAACAAGGGAAAACTGGAAAAGTCACAAATAACTGGAAATTAGACAACACATTCCTGAGCAATCCATGCATCAAAGAAGAAATCAAAAGAGAAATTAGAAAACATATTGAGACAAATGAAAATGAAAACACAGCACACCAAAACGTATTGGATGCAGCAAAAGCAATGCTAAGAAGAAAATTTATAGTGATAAATACCTATTTTGTAAAAGAAGGAAGATCTCAAATAAACAACCTAAATTTGCACCTCAAAAAGCAAGAAAAAGAAAAATGAACTAAGCTTCAATTTAGAAAAAGACATCATAAAGATTTGAGCATAAATAAACTAAATAGAGCACAGAAAGCAATAGAAATAAATCGATGAAAGTAAGAGTTTAATTTTGAAAAAATTAAAAATTGTCAAACTTTAAGCTATATCAAGAAAAAAAGGAAAGACTCAAATAAAATCAGAAATAATTTCTGTTGCTTCAGAAATAAAAAGATCCTAAGAGACTGTTATAAACAATGGTATGTCAACAATATGGAAAACACAGAAGAAATGGCTACATTTCCAGAAACATGCAACCTGTGAATACTGAATCATTAAGAAATTAAAAACCTGAGCAGGACTATAACTACTAAGGAAATTCAATTGGTAATCAAAATCTCCTAACAAAAAACACTCAGGACTAAATGGCTTCATTGGTAAATTCTACTAAACATTTAAAGAAGGATTAAAGCAAATCCTTTCCAAACTCCTCCAAAGAGGAGTGAACATTTCCAAACTTCTGTAAGAGGCCAGCAAAACCAAAGCCAAAGACAACACACACACAAAAAAACTACAGACTAATATCAATGATGATCATAGATGCAAAAATCTGCAACAAAACACCAGCAAACTAATTCAACAACATATTAAAGGGATGATACATCATGACTAATTGGAATTAACCCTTGGAATGCAAGCGTGGTTCACCATAGGAAAATTAATTAATATGATACCCTATGTCAGCTAAACAAAGGATAAAAATCACCTGATCATCTCAATAGATACAGAAAAATCATCTGACAAAATATAACACCCTTTAATAATAAAAACTCCCAGCGATGGACAGAAGGATATTACCTCAACATAAAGGTCACATATGAAAAGCCAACAGCATGCTCAGCAGTGAAAACTGAAAGCTTTTCCTCAAAGACCAGGAACAGGGCATAAATGCCTTCCTCACCATTTCTATTCCTCATAATACTAAAAGCCACAGTAAGAGTAATTAGGCAAGAAAAGGTAGCAAAAGCTATCCACACTGGAAAGGAAGAAGTAAAATCATCTGTTTGCAGATGACATACACTTATACATAGAAAACCCAGACTACTACACAAAAAAACCTGTTAATAAAATGAACAAATGTAGTAACGTTGAGGATAAAAATATCAACACATAAAAATCTCTTGCTTTTCTATACACTAACAACAAACTACCCAAAAAACTTTAAGAAAGAAATTGCAATCCCATGTACAACAGCATCAAAAAGGATAAAAAACTGAGGTTATACTTAACCAAGAAGATGGAAAACTTGCATACTAAACACTACAAGACACTGATGAAAGAAACTGAAGAAGATAGATATAGACATCCCATATTTATAGATTGGAAGATTTAATACTGTTAAAATGTTAATACTATCCATAGTAATATACAGATTCAATACAATTTCTATGAAAATCCCAATGGTATTTTTTTACAGAAGCAGGAAGAAAAAAGCCTAAAATTCATATGGAACCACAGGGGGCCTTGTATAGCCAAAACAATCTTGAGAAAGAACAAAGCTGGAGTCATCACACTTTTTGATTGCAAAATATATTACAAAGCTACAATAATTAAAACAGTATGATACTGGTGTAAGGATAGACATAAGACCAAAGGGACAGAATATAAAGCCCAGAAATAAACCCATGCATATACCATCAACAAATGTTCCACATGAGTGCTCAGAATGCACAATGAGGAAAGGTTAGGCTCTTAAACAGATGGTGTTGGAAAATTGGATGTTCATAGGCAAAAAAATGTAATCAGATCCTATCTGACATCATACACAAAAATCTACTCATAATGGATTAAATTCACTTTATATGTAAAATCTGGAACTGTAAAATTCCTACAAAAAACATGGGGGAAAAGTTTCATGGCATTGGCAACAATTTTTTTATATGACACACAAAACACACATAACAAAAGCAAAATTAGACAAATGGGAATACTTCAAACTGCAAAGATGCTGCACAGCAGGGGAAATAATCAACAGCATAAAAAGGCAATCTATGGAGTAGGAGAAAATATTTGCCTACCATATATCTGAAAAAAGTTAATATTCAAAATAAATAAGAAACTCTTAGAACTCAATAGCAAAAAACAAATATCTCAATTGGAAAAATGAGCAAGAGATTTTAGACATTTTCCCAAAGAAGACATACAAATGATCAATAAGTATACAAAAAGTGATCACCAATATCACAGAATGCACATCCAAATTGTATCATCTCGCACCTGTTAGGATACCTACTATCTACAAACAAAAAAGATAACAAATGTTGGCAAGAATGTGGAGAAACTGGAACCCTAGCATACTGTTGATGGGAATATAAAGTAGTGTAGTCATTACGGAAAACAGTTTGGAAGTTCCTAAAATAAAAATTAAAAATAGAGCAACCATGTAATCTAGTAATTCCACTTCTGGGTATTTATCCAAAAGAACTAAAATAGAGATCGCAGAGAGATTTTTCACTTCCATGTACATTGCAGCATTATTCAAAATAACCAAAATGTGGAAACAACCTAAATGTCCATCAGTAGATGAGTGGATAAAGAAGATTTGATTTATATACATATTTACATGTATAAACATACACAGCCTTATTCAGCCTTAAAATGAAGGAAATTCTGGCATGTGCTTCAACATGGATGAATCTGAAGGACATTATGCTAAGTAAAATACGCCAGTGACAGGACACATACAGTATGGTTCCACTTATATGAAGTATCTAAAACAGTCAAACTTATACAAGCAGCGAGTAGAACAGTGGTTGCCAGAGTCTATGGTCAGATGGAAATGGGAAGTTATTGTACAACTGATACAAAGTTTCATTTATGCAAGATTAATAAATTCTAGAGATCTGCTGTATATTATCTTGCTTATAGTTAAAAATACTTTTTTGCACATTTAAAATTTGTTAAGAGAGTAGATCTCATGTTAAATGTTCTTACTATAACAAAAAAGAAAAAAGAATGCACTATAAATCTTTATATGATCACACTTTAATATATTTGTAAAAGATGCATTTCTTTCATATATATAAAATTAGATTGAACATAAACAAAACGTATATATGATTTGTACCTTCAGACGAGATATATTTTAAAATTAAATTAATAAAACAAATTGTAGGCTCCCTTTCCTACTAAACTCACATTTAGACTTTCTTACCATGATGCGAATCTGTGGTTTGTGTTTCTTCAACAAATCAATGATATCCACTCCATTATAATAGAGATTTTCAAAACACCCATGGAAGTTTTTATGTGAGAACAGCATTAGTTTTCCATGTCCAGGAATCCCTCCAAAGCTGATCTTAGAAAAAAAATGACATGAATAATATTGTTTAATGATTTTCTGCCTGAAACATTTATGATTAACACGTATAGTGATAATTATCTTCACATTTCTTTTGCATTATTTTACATTGCCATTTTCATTATAAATGAAGTTTTAAGATGCAGATTTGTCATTGCCTTTATTATATTTAGGTTGATAGGTTAAATTCCATTCTTACAATTTGCTAGTCAGATGACTTGTCATTATTTGTTGGTGGGGAATACTGAACCTTTATTTCCATGTCAAATCTTGATCTACATAACAATACATCCTATTTTGACAGGATTCCACTTCACATAAATCTTTCTAGTAGCCAGACTTTACGATAGAGGCATTGTCATGACATTGATAGGTTAGAATAATGAAGCCATTCATAATCTCACTCAAGACCAGGATCTTTAGCTGGTCTCCTCTCTTGAGACCAAATGTGGAAAAGTTTTGGTTTGCTCACTCCAATGTGCTAAGCAGAAAGGTCAGGACAAATGCTGCATTTCAGGGTAGGGTAGAGATATGTGGGTAATATCCTGCAAACACTGTTAAGTCTTTAAAATTTCTAAAAAACAGTATTTTGATTTGTGTGCATTTGACTGTCTTGTTAGTTAATAAATCAGGTTAGAATATATGTTGATGGCTTCTCCAAGTTATCCCAAGTCACCGATTATTTAGGAGTGTCCAAAAAAGCAAGAAGAAATCTCCAGAGTTCACCATCAATAATATGGAAGAATGGTCCAAAAGAATGAATTTTAAAATGCTGCCTGCTATATTGAAAACTCTTAAGCTAAAAACTTCTAAACTTAATGGTGTTACTACTGACTCTCATTTGAAGACTACCATCTGTAAGGGATAAAATGTTTCAAGAGTGCATGCATTATCTACTCCTGTGTGAGAGTAACTCATGGGAAATATTCCACCAGAATTCTGAATTACTAAGAAAGGTTATTTCTCTGTGTAACAGTATTTTCTCTATAAAGTTATATTGCATTTAAATACTAAAATCTGTAATACTTAAAAAGTAATTCTCAAACCTCATAATCAAGATCCAAATAGCTGAGTTCTCCCTTTGCCTGGAAATGATGAGTGTGCTTGTCCACTGTGAAGTTGATGTACATGTTGAGGAGTTCAATGAGGATGAAATGCCAGTGGTCATCATCCAGCAGGCTGCCCAGGGTGAGGGTCACACGGGTGTCAGCAAGGGGCAGGTTAGCATCACCTGAAAAGAGAGGAAAAGTAAATGTACTATGCCACCCAGCTCAATATCATGGTTTCAATGGTTTCACATTTCTTACAATTACTCTCTACTTACACCCTTTCACACAAGAACTGATCAGCTGATTTTAGCTCAATAATCATCTGTTCACCTTGAGGAATTTCTTCTATTTGTTTTTATTATTACTCATTGTGTTTTTATTTTTCTTGAAAATGCTTTCTTTCTAGAACCTCATCATAATATACCTAAAAATTTTACAATGACTCACTCAACTATATGATATTATCAGGTTATATACTGAGCATCTAATAATGGTCTTATGCAATTATCAGATTATAAAATGTTGTACATCAAAGCATATTTAATATATATATATGCAGGTTACCCTTAAAATATATCATGTTTTTTTAAGGTGGCCATGTTCCCGATGCCTGCACAGTTCAGATTTATCTCTAATGCTCTAAGAAATTATTTACAAAACTTTCTTTCATTCTCAATGTGTTCTGGTTTCAGGATAAATTCATTACTTAGCTGTGAAAAGTATAAAATAATTTTACCTAATTTATCACATTTTTAAAAACACGGCCTTGTAGTTTTTACCTGAATTAAGAAATAAGATGAGTTTTCCTTTAACTAATTCCAGGGTGATATGTTTGCCATTGTGTCCTTCTCTGTGGAGTAGAATCCCATCACTCTGACTGCTTTTAAATTTCAAAGAAATCATTTCTTTTGTTGAACTCATGGATTTCTGATTAAAAGTGTACAGCAAGGAACTTTTTCCATCAAAATTAACCATCTCAGATCCTACAACAGAATACATTAAAAAGTAATTCTGGCTATAGCATATTTTTACTAGTGCATTGAAATAAATAGTTTGACACACATATATCTCTGACAAGCACATGCATCTCTGGTTTGTTTAAAATGGGGGGAAAATTGCTACTGTCATTTCCTCTTGATACTAGTAGCTGACATACCCAAACCCCACTGTTTGCCTTGTCTGGTATTTTCTCCAAAACAAATCATCTAGAAATATTTTTGTTGATCTAATTCCAATTGTTCCTATCTTTGCATTGGCCTATTCTCACTCTATAAAATCTTCCTATATAATTTGCAATCATTCAATATCACTTTCAAAAGTTTATAGTAGATCTCACCAACTGGTAAAAGGTTTCACTCAAGGTAAATGGTTTAATGTTTTCTGAAGTAGTGGTTTTGACTTTTAATAATTCTCACATCCGCACCCAGGTTAATATACTTTTGTCTGGTCATAAAAGTCGTACATGCACACCCCAAATTCATTGGAACCACTCTAAACTCATATGATGGGGTCTCCAGTAAACTGGTATGTATTTTTTCTTGACATTTTGGCAGAGTCATGGCACAGAAAGATACACCTATTTTGTATTGTGCCTCCAGAACTTTTGAAGGTGGCTCTGCTGCAGTTGGTCATTGCTACAACGATGCTTTTTCTTCTCAACTTTGACATGGTCTTATCTTTTCAATATCAAGGTCATTTACATCAGCCTATATTAAAAAGTTATATTTATCATTAATATACAAAGAATGTCAGTCCAAACCAACAGCAGACAGAATTCATATCACCTAGAATTAATATCACCTAGAAAATCTTTCACATTTTTCATTTCACAAGTTACAAAAAGTCATACTTGTTCTTTAAAAACACGTGTGATATACCCTTTGAATCTAAAATAAATAAATAAGTAATGCATGTATATAATAAATGAAGGTGCAAGAAAAAGCCAATGAAATATGAAGCTGATGTCTTTCAAGTCAGTAATAAGATATTGTTTACTTCATTTAATTTCACAAAAAATTGTGGCTAACATGCATATCATTCAGATTAATTAAAATATTTACAGTAAATATAACTCAAAAAACTCATTCATTTTATGTAGCTATCTTTGTAAAGTTTGCAAGTTTGATTTATATATAAAGTGTGAAATATACACTATGTTCTGTCTAAAAATTATGTAAACTATTAATATACAATTTTTGTTGCATAATTAATTGAATGAACATGACTGATAAAAACATAACCCATTGTTAAATTCAGATGAAGTCTTCTAGCTTATTAAATGACAATGAGCTAATAAGAACCTGACCATGGAGAATATAATATCCTTACACATTTTAGCAGTACAGTTTATCTATATGTATGTATTTATCTATATGTATGTTACTAAAAGGCAATAATAATAATTAAGGTTTATTTTTGCAGTTAACAAAAAATGTTTGCTCCACACAAATGATTTTGCCAAAATTATTTTGGTCAGAAGATTTTTATCCTCATCTTCCCTGTTGCCATTATTGTTCTATAATAGTTATATCGACCCTCTTTGCATCATAATCCCCTGAAGTGCTTGCTAAACAAAGATTGCTGGGCCTCTCCCAGAGTTTATGACTAAATAGGTCTGGGATAGAACCTAAGACTTCCCTGGCTAACAATCTCCCTCCCTAGCAATGCTGATACACTGGTCTGGTGATATTTTGAGAACGACTGCTCTAAAACAGCTATATTTCCTAAAATATTCCTCTTAGGGAAAATAGAGTAGTGAAGATTGTATTAGGAAATCGAGACACAAAATAATGGCCTTAAAATCCTTTTGTCTGATTGCTTTGACTTTCTAATATAACTACTAACACTTGTATCTAGAACAATTAACCATCAAATTATATTCATCAGGCATATTAGTCATCAAATTATATTTACAAGGCATATTCAACATGTTGACAGATTTTTTAAGCTTATAGAGTGATTAAAATAGAATACAAACATATAGCAACGTAAAATAAAACTGCTTAAAAATAATACAACCTGCAATAGTCCTAGTAGTTTCAACTAAATTCTTCTCTTTTTTTAAATTTTAAGGATGTGAGGTACAATTCAAGATTAGATATACAAATGATATACAATGGTGGTTGTATAAGTTTAGGTTTCACTTTGGTCCCTACTTTGCCTGGTTTGAGATCAGGTACCCTTACTGATGAAGTGTGCCCCACTACCCCCAGCAGTTTCCCTCTACTTCCCATGAAATTCTTAAATGATAATGAATTTAAACTCAAGTTAGGGGGTGTAAAAAAGGACAGATCAAATTTAGGAATTGTTTTTAGAAGTATGAAATATTAGACTGCTCATTTGAAATTACTCTCATAACTCTGAAACCTGTTATTGTACAAACCATGAGCTAATTCTGAAAAGGTTAGTAAAAAACAAACATGAAAACAAAAGATAAGTGACAGAAAGTAGATATGGCCTGCAAAGCCTGAAATACTAAATGGCCCTTTGTGAAAGAAGTTTGCTGCCTCCTGTTCTGCAGAATTCTCCAGCCATGGTTATTGTGCCTGGTTGTTATTGCTTACAGGTGGCCATAAGAACCAGCTCACAACCAGATATTTTGCCATTCTTTGATTTAAAAACTGAAAGCTCAATTTTGTTGAGAAACTCACATGTTAAATTATTATTATTATTTTTTATTTTTTTTTTTTTTGAGTTGGAGTCTCACTCTGTCGCCCAGACTGGAGTGCAGTTGCTGCTCCCGACCACTGCAGCCTCGACCTGCTGGGCTCTGGTAATCCTTCGGCCTCAGCCTTCCAAGTAGCTGGAATTACAAGCTCACGCTACCACGCCCAGCTCATTTTTGATTTATTGTAGAGGCGCGGTCTCGCAAAGTTGCCCAGGCGGGTCTCGAACCCGCGGACTCAGGCAATCCACTCACCTTGACCTCCCCAAAGGCACGGGATTACAGGCTGAGCCACCGAGCCTGGCTTAAATTATTAACATGTAAACTCAACAATTATTTTTTGTTGAATATTCACTTTGTATTACATAATCCAATATACTACATTTATAACTGGCCTTGGAATATATCTTTTACAAAGGAAAAAACAGATCAATAGTTCAGATCCTGGCCATATATTTCTGTGTACAATATAAAAGAGTGGTTTTGACATAGACAGGCTTCCATAGTTTGAAATTCTGCTATGTCAAGGATATACATAATACAGTTTTATTATTAAAAGACAATGTTCTCCATCTTATCTCTGCTTGATCTAATTCCGTTTATTTCGCCAGTACAGCTCCATTCAATTAATATTAATAGAACCCCTACTTGGTGTCATTCACTGTGGTGGAGGTTAGGATAGCCTCCCTGAGCTGACAATTCCACCATATTCTCTTACTATTACTAACAGGAAGGAACATATTTCACAGGGAACAGCCTAAAGTCTTACTGTGGGTTGCTAAAGAAACTTCAGTGACAAGGAAACAATTTACAGCTCAGAAAGGAAGAAGTAGGAGAAAGAAGGGCTCTCCTTTGGTGAAAGTATACAGAAAGCAAGAATGCAAGGAATCAAGGGAATCTTGACAGCACACCAATCATATACCCTTAACATAAAATTTACAAATATGAATCAGAAAGTATTCAGCCATGGCTCAAGAAATCCTCCAGTTAAGCTAGCACAATAAAGAAGAAAATACATTATCATAAAATGTCATTTATAACAGAAATATTTAGATTGGAAACTCAATTATAGGCCATATCAAAGAGAATCGATTTTCTAAAACGTCATTTACTTACAAATGTCCATGAATCAACTTGAATTTTTAAAAACAAATCAGTAAAGTCAGTAAATATAAAATAACTTTTAAAAATTAGTGCCAGATATTCAAACAAAATTTGTGAAGGCAATAGATTTAAAACAGTGTTAAGTTAAACAAAAACTATATCTTAGAATAGAGAGCATTTAGCTCTGTAAGTCAGCAGCAACAAGCTCTCCACACTTGTGATGGGAAAGCATCCCAGGTAAGCCCTCTCTAATGTAATCTATCCACTAAGCAGAGGCTTCCTTAACCTCAGTTTCACTGATCTCCAAGTTACCTCGATAATCTAACTTTCAAGGGTTAGTGCTCATTAGTTATATTCAGGTGTCTTTGTTTACATCATCAAACCTCTAATGTAAGGTTTTTGCTATTGAACAAAAAAAAGTTTATATATCTATAATCAATGTAAATAATCTCTCTTTTTTTTTTTTTTTGAGTTGGATTCTCACTCTGTTACCCAGACTGGAATGCAGTGGCTGTTCCCGGTCACCGCAGCCTTGACCTGCTGGGCTCCAGTGATCCTTTCACCTCAGCCTTCCAAGAAGCTGGAACTACAGGCACGCGCTACCACACCCAGCTAATTTTTGACTTATTGTAGAGATGAGGTCCCACCAAGTTGCCCAGGTAGGTCTCGAACCCACGGGCTCAGGCAATCCACTCACCTCAGTCTCCCAAAGCGCTGGGATTACAGGCTGAGCTTATTTGGATGAAAACATTGAAATAATACATTAAATTATCACTTAGTGTTATACTTATCTTTTACAAAAGCTTACTTGAAAAGTAAGTGTCTCTGTATGTAATTCAACAACCAGGGTGCCAAAAAATGTATACGTATTTAAAAAGTTATTAAGAGATGTTCACTGTAATCAGAAGTGTCTGGATGCTGATGGTAAGTAATCACTTTGAGTACCTCTTTTAACTGCAGAAGTCAAATGTGACTTGCATTCATCTTTTGTTATTGGTATATATTGATTATTACAATTTTAATACAGTTTTCTTCTTTCTTAAAATGTATACTTTTTTTGGCTCTCTCTGAATTTAAATAATTAGAGTACTTGAAAACAGATACAACTTAAACATTAAAACAAGAAGCAATAGTAAAGATAGAGAACCTACATTCTAAAAAGAGTAGGAGGAAACATGACACTTAGTTGAAAGTAGACAATGTTTTTCCAATTTT